TCTTAGACTGTATCATTATCATAAAATCAAAATGAATTAAGCGATTGACTTATTTTCTCAAGGAATGTGAAGACATAGCAAACTAAAAGGGAATGTTATTCCATGCTTAAGACAGCAGTTACTTCTATTACAAGAGGTGATTGAAATTTTGAGGTATGCAGGCTGAGGATACGTGAATCACAGGAAAACTGAGGCAACAAATTTAGAAATGACACATTTATGATTTGCCAGAATTTCTGCGGTGAATAATCTGAAGCCACGCCTTCCAAATGGTGTTGGTTTTTTTTTGTTTTTGTTTTTTCTCAAACATGAAGTAGAAGCCTTGCTTAAAGTTGACAGAGGAAAATTATGTATTGTAAACTGAAACAGCACAAAGAAAGCAAGCATTTAAAAATGGATTTCACTAAATTTAAAGAAAATGTTTTTATGGAAGAACTATTGTAGAAAAGCAATCACTTATGAAAAACACTTTAAAATGAACTATGAGCAAACAGGTTATTAGAGAAGTCAATGACTCATAAATCATAATTCTAGAAGAAAACAAAATGTTTTTTGATGACAGTTGGCAAACTTATTAAACTGCTAGATGTACTATAAATTTTATTAGCTGTCTTCCATAAAGGCTCCATGGAATAAAATGGACTTGTCTGACACAGAAAAGAAGGCTATTTGAACATTACAATTTCTCTATGTTCCAGATAGAATACTTAATACATTTTATTTTTTACTCCTTATGAATTAATTTGCACAGTAGATTAAATATAAATTCCATTCTATTCTAGTTAAATTCCACTAAACAAATTATTATCTGGTTTTTCTACTCTAATAGTAGTAGCATATGTATGTCAAATACACTTTTTGTATGTGCTTCACTTTAAAGAATATTTTCATTATAAATTTAGTAAACTAAAAACAAAGGCAAACTAGCAAATATGCATACCAAGTGACAGACATAACTTTCTTTCTGAAAAATATAAAGAAGATAAAGGGCATATAATTCCATAGGTATATTTTTAAAATACTGACATACTTTCAGAAACCAAAATAATAATTGTGTTCTACATACACAACAACCTTCATAAGAGAAACACTCCTTGTAAACAAGCACATTTCATTTTTATGTCAGTTGGGTTAAAAGTATGCAATAAAAATTTTAAATTATATGCATAACAGGCACTCTTCCCTCAAATAAAAATCAGGAAAGACAAAGAAAGGACTTTTATATAACTTCAAATGGTAAGGAGAAATCTGGTCCAGGTGGTAGACACTGAAATACTGAATTTTCCAGCTGATTTCATTGGTTAACACAATGATAACTGTGCTCATCAGGACTCTATGATGACATTTTCATTATTAAGGGGGCTGCTTAATTATGAAGAGGGCTATAAAATTCAAGATAATTACTGGAATAAGTTTGGCTAGCAAGAGATCTTTTAAGAAAATTAAAATCTTGATTTAAGTTCACTGAACAAATTAATGACCTATAAATATTCATATAATAAGAGGATTCTTAATGACAGGATCATCGACAAAAATGTTTTATGGCTTCTCTGAATTTTTGTCTATTTTATCTTCTATCAAGTGATCTATCAAATAACCTGTATTACAATTATAAACAAAAAGGACACTTCCTGAGAAAAATATTTGTTAACTTACAAGAATTCATTAAAATGACCACTTTAAATTGACTTTGCATTTATGAAATTTTTCAGAGTTAAAACAGAATTAATATAAATTTTACTTACACAAAATTACATCAAATCCATAGACTATCTACTATTTTGAGGAAAGAAAACTCATTAAATGTCTACTTCACATATACAATCTTATTTTAATTCATATGACAAGAAATAAAGTTGGCATTACTAAGATTGTTCCACAGCTGGCAAAGTGACTCCCAGAGTTGCCCACACTGGTTTAGAGAGAGGGCTCTGGAGCCAGGCTTTCAGTATTAGAACCCTAGTTTCAATGTGCCACTTAAGTCTCTGACCTTGAGCAAGTTAATCATTTTCTCTCCCTATCAGCAGAACAGAATTAGATGAGATAATAGAGACTGGCACATAGTAAATGCTCAGTAAATGCCATGTACCACTACACACCCTCAGGTAACACCCCCATCACCTAAAATCAGACAGAACATAACAACACCAGTTTGAGCCATAATACGTCCGACACCAAAAAAAAGAGAATTCTTTGCATCACACTGTCTCTAGTGAGAACTACTCTCTTACTGTATTTCTGTCTGATATGCAGAAGGCTACTTACACCTTGTGCCACAAAGCATGTATTTTTTTCAAAGCAAGTTCTTTCCAAGTCATACAATAAAAAAGAACTGTTTTGTTTTATATCATCTAAACGGTTTAATAACATAAATCATTTTTTAAAAAAGGGGGTGGGCCAAATTTGAGAGGCTAGGTAATCTGCGGTCCATGTGGAAGATCATCCGACTGGAAGGAAAGTGAAATTGCTAATTTATTAAGTCATTCCTAGACACAAAATGCAGAAGATATGATTACTTGGAGACTGGAGTTAAACTTCTTGAAATCATTTATTAATCATTTGTTCATTGTTCAGTCATTAAATATTAGAAGTCCAGTGAAAGGAAATTTGTTCAGTTATTGCTCTCAGTACTCACTGGACTGGCATCAACCAATCCAATATAATAATTTTAGTCCCCAAGGAATGACAATTTGGGGCATGTATTTGTTTTGAAAACGGAATTAAAAAAAAAAAGCGTATCACATTTTCTCTAGAAGATTTTAGACTTCAAATAGGTTCTCATTCATCTAGAACAATCTATTACTGACTAAAATAAGATGATATATCCTATTCCAAGGTCTCATTCATCTACATGAATTTATGATAGAGCTGGAAAATAAGAAATTCTATCAACCCTTGCCCTAACGTAAGAATCTGTGTTCTTCAAGTAGAAGTCTCATTTAACAACTAGCATTTAACATTTCAAAAGCCAAAAGACTGTATCACTGATGTACACACTTGTCTATAATGGCCCCTTTCAAAAATTTAAATTAACAAAAGACTATTACCAATACATACAATTATCTACTAATGAGTCAACCTCTAACATCAAAGGCTTTGAAACAATTAATGAAACACTATTACATAAGAATTAGAAAGCACATAACTGAACCACAGGGTACTTTGTAACTGGGTATGCATTATTATTAAAAGGAGAATGACAATTTTTTATATGTTTTCTATTGGTTATAAATTAAGAATATATAATTGATTGCTGTTGAAGTTATTTATTACAGGGAAAAATTAAGATGAATGATATAAAAGAACTAAAAACAAATCAAAATGAAAATAATAATACTGACCCTCTTAGTCTTTTATCTCTACAATGAAATAAATACAATTTAAATACCAAAATATAATATAAAAACTAAAATGAGTTTTAAAGACAAGTAATGAAAAATAACCATTGTGCCTTGGATGAATGGACCAGATAACCTGTTAAATATGGTTTTAGTACTAAGATTTTATAATAGCTGTTCATGAAATCAAATTACTATGATAATTTTAGTTATAACATTTCGAACTGTTAAGATTTCTAATTTTTCTTCACAAAACAACAAATTTCATTGCAGATGAAAATAATTATGAACTTTATATTAATTCATAAGGAATATTCAAATTACATGTGGAGTTTTCTACTGGCTACTTCATCTCCAATTACTGTTAATAGCACTTAACTAGGTTTTTAATTACTTATCATAATGTGTAATGGTTCACTTAGATAATAAAGAGCAACACATATTGAATTTATATCCAAGACTGGAGTTTCATGTTTCCACTAGACTGATTTGCGTCCCAGTGAAATGTCACAAGTTCTCATAGCAGAGTAATATCACATCAGGGCATGACCTCGGCATTCCTTTTCATTTCAAAGCTTTTTCACTTCCAAACCCCAACTTTTACAATATACTGACATAAAAGAAGGCATGACTTATGGATGGGTGTTGAATGTTATACATGTACAGGTCACATTTATACTTACATTTATACTTTACATAAAGATGGTCCCAATACAGGGACAATATTATTAGCAGTAGTAAAATAAAATTTTATTAATAGCTACTTTAGAAAATAAACGTGAGAAAATCATGTATTACATTTCAATGGGCTTTAAATTTTTCCCATCTTAGTTTCATTCACTAGTTTTCCTATCAGTTCAAAACTGGGTGGTCCATGAAGGATTTCATGTCTGTCTGCACATACTAATAAAGCATTCTTTTTACTTGCAGAATAAAAATTACTGTTTACCCATATAACTGTCCCTTCAAATTCTCCAGACATAGCAAATGTACAGTCAAAATAGCTAAATGTTAAAATTCACATTTAGCTTCTTACATATATGATACTAAGACATAATATTAAACCAGCATTTGATGCATGAGATGAGGGAAGCTACAAAAACTGCACATGAAATCAACCTAATTAGAAGATTATGATATTTTATGTAAACAGATATGTCACTGATTGGATCTGGGTTCTCAAACGTGAGCTACATATAAAGAAAAGTTAATATCAATTAATATTGTGCTAGTCTTAAAATAACAGCACTACAAAGTTTAAGATATAAATTATGTAACTTATTAAATATTATTCTTCAGTATAAACTTTACCATAGTAATTTTGTTTAACTTGATGGTATTTCCTGGACAATCCAAACCATGAGCCTTTGCAGAGGGGAAGGCCAGGACCAACATTTTTCCTCAGATGCCTATGACAACCACTAGGTATATCTGGTAAGAATTTTTTATTTATTATCAAGGAAGTCACTCCTTTATAGTTATAAGAATCTAAGTGCCAGGGGTTTTTATATTGTACAAATATACATCTTAGTCCTAAAGAAGCTTTCATTAGCACTTCAAGGATAAAAACCAAGTATTATAATATATTTCCACACCACCTAGGACAGGCATAATCTAAGTGTGTAAAAAATATCAGAAATTACACATTCAGAGAAAACTTACCAGACAGTTGTTTCCACTTGACTGTCGTTGAGCTGCCGATTGTCCAGTTGGGCAAAAAGTGGGAAAAGCACTTGAATCCCTCCAATTGAATGAATCGCACTATGAATGGAATGTGTTACTATCGCTTTCACATCCTAGTGCAAAAACAAAAATGTTCATTAAGTGTCTGAAGCATAACGTTATCACTATTTCCTTGTCCCAAATAACTCTGTAAGAGAATTAAATAACATAGACATTTTTAAAGCCCTCAATAAAATAATTTTTGATACACATAAAATAGAAATTTGAAGTATCTTTGCTAATCACTTTAAATTTGAAATCTAAGTTGAGAGCTCTTTACATTAAAAATGTGGAGCTATACATCAAAATATATTCCGGAATAAGAAACACGATAAATGGATTTAAACACACTCAGGTAATTTTTTATATTAGGGAGTTATGCCAATACATTCTTCAAGCGAAGTTTTCTGTATCTAACAACAATCTATTCAGCTCAATCGGTTTTATTTGAAAGGATAAAGCACATAACAAGAAAGATAGCAAATGACAGGTTTCCTATTAAGGAGACAAGTCCCAGGCAAAAATTATCACCGAAAGGAAGCAGATAACAAAACTGTCATTCAAAGAACTAGAAAACCAAAACAGAAGGACAAACAGCAGTTGGATATTTATACATGAGCAATGCTTAATACAAACAACAAAGATACCACTAATGCTGAGGAGAACATGAAAACTAAGCGACTATTCACCCACCTGGAGCATTAGCGCATGTGGGGAATGCACAAAAATGGATGCATTTTCCTTTGGTGATGATTCCAGGCACAGTTGAGCGTCAGTGGCCTTAGCGTTATATGTAAATGCAATACTACTTGCAAGTTTCCCATCATACAAAACCTGCTTATGATGTTCTGCCAAATGAATGTCACTCTCAGACTTAAATTTGAAGGTGCTCTGAAAAAATAAAACTAAAGTAAACATTTTTAAAATTGTAACATGGTAAAATTTCAAAGTTTTAAAGCAGAGAAACATTTGAGATAATAAACAATTTGTTGTGACCCTTATATTATTTTGTTCTTTTCACTTCAGTTCTGTGACATTTAAATTTTATTATGCTGATAAACACTCAGATCTTCATATTCTCATTTTATTAAGTTCCTGATTTACAAAGTGATTGCAATCGAAAAAAGAAGCTCGATTATATTAAATGTAAAGAGGATTTTACTTTAATACTTTATAACGTAAACTGAATTTTCCTTGTTAACACTCTCAAAAAGTATATAAGTAAACAGAGCCTGGCATGTGTATTACTTATATAGAAAAAATACTATCACTTGAGACTATGAAAAATATTTATATGCAGAAAAATTTGACTTTACAATAAAAAGTCAATCAACACACTGAATACCAACGCTACTCCACAAAAGTATCACAATAGCCATGTAAACCCAGAAGAGAAGTTCAGTAAAACATTTTATCACTCTATGAAAGAGAAAAAATAAAACTGGACTAGCTGTAAAAAGAAAGGTATTTTTAGAAATGGTTAAAACGTCTCTGCAGATAGGAACCTGACAGTGACAAATATTTAACATCTGCAAAAATCACATATTAGTACTAATAGCATTTTCATCTTGCAACTATGAAAACTGAATGTTAGAGAAATTAAGATCTAGAAGGGACGGCAGCAAGACAAAATACCACGTCTTCTGATTCCTCGTCGGTATTCACGGGTTAACAGTGAAGTGCCCTAGACCGTACTTCAGGCTTTGCCGCCAATCATCTCCTGACCCTTACTGAGGGTCAAATAAATCATTTAACTGATGCAGGTCCAATTTCCTTATTCCTAAGTTTAAGCCAAATGTTCCACTCTAGTCCTTACAGGAGTTAAATAGATAAGCTCAGTGCTTGTGAAGGAGGTAAGGGGGGGCTTCTTCAAACCACCAAGTGCACGTCCTGTCTGAAAGTATCCTATCGCTTAGCTCAAGTCAGTTACTGAACAATGCTGCCAGTTCTTCCACATTTTCCAAGAGAAACATGAAATCTGAATTTCTATATAAAATCACCTCCTTGTAATTTAATCCAAACATTTTCAAACACTTACAAACCACATGTGTTAGGCCAAATATAGCCAGTTTTCTACCTCTGGACTAGTATGTAGAGAGCTCTTCTAACTTGAACCTGGAAGCAAATTGTTAATTATTAGACATCTACCAAGACAGGAGCAGCATAGACAATTGAAAATTTGCGTATATATGGTTATGTGTGGTCCTTTTTGTCTTTTAAATGTAAGCCAACATAAGCTAAGAAAACTGCACTATTTTGGATTGAAACTCTTGCTCTCCTCTCAACTCAAAGGAATGTAAAACATTCTCTCTCGCTTCTAAGTTTCCCAATGGAATCCTGTCTTTATAATCACAGAGTCATACTTCCCAAGCTAGAAGAAACAGTCGGGTTTAAAATACATCCTGATTGAAAATAAAGATTTCTTTCAGTCCATCTTGTACTAAAGAATAGGTGACAATTATAACAGAAAGACAGAAACAAATAATTTCCTACATAATATTTGAATAAAATTATGAGTTAACTGTTACTAGGTAGTAATATTGGCAACATAAAGCCCATCTAGTTGTCTTGGTATTGCAACATAAACATTTTAGTATGTATTTCAGTAAGAGCATAAATGCTCAGAATGCTTAATATTTGTGTTTGCAATCCAATCACTTTAAAGTAAAATTTCGCAAATATGTTACATTTTTTACTTACACTGCAGAGTACTGATAGAGAGTAGAATTATTTTGGAGGAGCAGAACACATGAATTAATTTGTAGAAACTGACTTATTTAATGGAGGGAATTCAGGGGAAGAGCATCCACGAGCCTGAGACACTGGGGGGCAGACGGAACAGGGAAGAAGGGGATGGGCAGAGCAGCTGGGGGGGCCAGGGGCAGGACGTCAGAGGGCAGTCAAGTGGAGCAGGGCTGCCTCCTTATGTTCATGGTGTTATACGAGGAAAAATAGTGTATGAATGATAAAACAGCAACCATAGGAGGAGTGACATAGGCCCTAGCTAGCAGAGCTAGCTACCTTCAATTAAGGATTTTTTGTATTGGACAACAAAAGCAATAGTAACAAAAGCAATAGTAACAAAAAGCAATAGTAACAAAAGCAATAGTAACAAAAGCAATAGTAACAAAAGCAATAGTAACAAAAGCAATAGTAACAAAAGCAATAGTAACAAAAGCAGTGACAAACAAGTGGGACTACAGCAAACTAAAGGCTTCTGCACAGCAAAGGACACCATCAACAGAAGGAAAAGGAGAAAATATCATACTGAAGAGGAGAAAATATTTATAAATCATATATCTAATTATCTGATAAAGGGTTAATATGCAACACATATAAGGAACTCAGACAATTTAACAACAACAAAAATCCAATGAAAACTGGGCAGAGGATCTGAATAGACATTTTTCCCAAGAAGACATACAAATGGTGAAGAGGCACATGAAAAGATGCTCAGGATCACTAATAATCAGGGAAATGAAAATCAAATGACAATGAGGTATCAGCTCACACCTGTGAGAACAGCTAATATCAAAAGACAAGAAATAACAAGTGTAGATAAGGAGGTAGAGAAAAAGGAACCTTTATGCGCTGATGGTAGGATAAATCTGGGCAGCCACTATGGAACGCAGTATGGAGGTTCCTCAAAAAATTTAAAAACAGAACTACATATGATCAAACAATTCCACTTCTAGGTATCTATCCAGAGAGAATGAATATACTAATTCGAGATATATGTACCCCCATCTTCATTACAGCATTACTTACAACAGCCAAGATATGGAGGCAACCAATGTAAGTGTCCACTGATGGATGAACAAATAAGGAAAAGGTGATACCTATTATATATGTCAAATGGAATATTATTTGGCCATAAAAAAGAAATCTTGCCACTTGCAACAACATGGATGGATCTTGAAGACATTATGCTAAGTGAAATAAACATGTCAAAGACAAACACCATATGACTTCACTTACATATGGAATCCAAAACAAACAAAAACAAAAAAACCACCAAACTCATAGACACACAGAAAGAATAAGTGGTTGCTAGAGGCAGGAGGTAGGAAGGAAGTGGGCAGAATAGCCAAAAAAGGTTCAAAAGGTACAAACTTCAAGTTATAAAACAGGTCATAAAGATATAATTTAAGACATGGCAACTAGAGAGAGTTATGAATACTCTGTTGTATATTTGATAGTTGACAGACTAGATTCTGAAAGTTCTCATAACAAGAAGAAAACATTTGTATCACTGTGGATGGATATGAATGTTAACTAGACTTACTATGGTAATCATTTTACAATATATACAAATATTGAATCATATTGTCTATCTGAAGCTCATATAAGATTATGTCAATTATATCTCAATTTTGAAAAAGTGTTGATAAATGAGAATTTTCTCTATGTTTTCCTTTAGGAGTTTTATGCTCCTTGCCATTGGTCTTGGCAGTGGTTTTATGGATATGATACCCAAAGCATAAAAAACAAAAGCAAAATAAACAAATGGGATGACATGAAGCTAAAACACATCTTCCGCACAGCAAGGGTGACCATAAACAAAATGGAAAGGCAGACTAATGAAGAGGAGAAAATATTTGCAAAACATCTGATAAGTGGTTAGCATCTAAAATATATAGGAAACTCATGCAACTTAATAGCTGAAACAAATAATTCAATTTAAAAAATGGGCAAAGGCCTTGAAAAGATCGTTTTCCAAAGAAGATACTCAAATGGCCATGAGGTACATGAAAAGACGTTCAACATCACTAATCATCAGGGAAATCACAATGAGATAGTTCCTTAAACTTGTCAGAAGGGCTGTTAACAAAAAGACAAGAAATAGCAAGTGCTGGCAAAGATGTGGAGAAAAGGGAACCCCTGGGTTCTGTCACTTATGTGAAGGAAAGGCAATCTCTATCTTGAAGTGGTATCCAAACCACTGATGTCCACTCAAGCATTATTTACAGTAGCCAAGACATGGAAACAATCTAAGTGTCTGTCAACAGATGAATAAAGAAAATGTGACATGTACATAGGCCTGTATGTATATAAATGATACATATACAATAGAATACTATTCAGCCATAAAAAAAGAAGGAAATGCTAACATTTGCCAGCGTGGATGGACCAGGAAGGCATTATGCTAAGTGAATAAGTCAGAGAGAGGAAGACAAATACCATGTGATCCTTACAGATACGTGGGACCAAAAAAAACAAAACAAAACAAACTCATAGAAACAACAGAGTGATAGTTGCCAGGGGAATGGACAAAATGGGTGAAGGTTAGTCAAAGACTATAAACTTTCACATAGAAAATGAATAAGGACTAGGGATATAATCTAAAGTAGGTTTAGTATAGTTAACAATCCTGTATTGTATGTCTGGAAGTTGCTAAGAGAGTAGATTAAAAAGTTCTCAACACACATGCAAAATTATAATTACATAAGGGGATGGATGTGTCGGCCTTGCTGTGGTAATCGTTTCACAGTATATACATGTATCAAATCATGATGTTGTACATCTTAAAACAGACCTCAATTAAACCAGAAAAAAAGCTTTAAAAGTTAGAAAAGAAAATACTGCATTTTCAGTTCTGTGAAATTGTTAAAAGCATTATGTTCAAAACTAGTTAGAATTCCATTGGAATCCCACCTGTCACCTACACCAGATGTATATCCATCACAGGTTATTTACATCTCACCTGTTATAACCTAACCCATAATATAAACAGAGCACTTTGAACAATATCTAGTTCTTTAAACATAACTCAAAATAGTAGCTGCTATTATTATTACCTCTTTTTCTACTTCATATTTTATATTTTCTGTGTTAAAAATTTTTTCATAAACTTTATTCATGAAATATTTACCATGAATTTTATGGTGATGGCACATTACACTTACGTTAGAGGACAGCCAGCCACCTGACACAGCTGCTAATGAGGCAGAGCCCCCCACTCAGTAGAACCCTAATCACCTGAATAGGAATTACTTCACAGACAAATGAGAAAATGGGCCACAACACTGCTAAACTGAACAAAACTAATTTTATCAAATTGCTACAATAGCAGAAGCATGTTGTTTTCTAATAGTAATCCCTTAACTGATTTCAAAGCAATTGTATAATATGTATACAATGTATGGGTTTTGCCTACAACATACAGAAGTATTAAATATTTGCTAATAATACAAAGAAGATGGGTGGGAAATGTATTATGATCTAAGGAAATGACTCCAGGTTGCAAGTGAACAAATGGTGAGATCCATAAATGATAAATAAAGTTAAGATAACAAAAGCTACAAAACATATAGCTGATCTTTCTTTCTTCTTCATTTTTAAGAGGCATGCAATTATATAAATATATATATGACATATATTTAGTAATAATTTTAATACTGTTACTGGGTTTGTTACATTTATAGTGTAATATATATTAAAATATCCACAGAAAGAAGAAAAACAAAAAAAAAAGCTGTATAGGAGTAACATTTCTGTATTTCACAGAATTCGGTCATATAAATCTGAAGCTGACCGTGCTAAGTTAAAATGTGTATGGTAAGCGCGAGAGCAACCATTGAATGAAAAAATTACTAAAGAAATGAAAATGCTACAGTAGAAAAAGATACTCAATTCAGAAAGATGTAAGAAGGTATAAAGGAATAAAAAGGATGTGAGACAGCTAACAAAAAGTTAATGACAGGAATGGGGACAAAAGATGTCCCAGGTATTGCCACCTTGACTTAAAAATTACAGCAGTATTGCCATTCAATATTATTATCATTATTTTAAAATTACTGGCAACAGAAATATCTTTTAATAAGGGTAAATTCAAAGTGTCATGTATATGTCTAAAATAGGACATAAGAATAAAAACAAATAAAAATGCAGAAATACAAGGACAAAAGATGAACTATTTTTAATGTTTAGAGCTGCTTCTCTAGAACACAGTCTTCATACTGATTTAACACCAAGTTTGAAAAGCTCTTCTATGTAAAACATGTACTTCTTCAGACAAACAAATACTTTGACTTACACTGTGTAATCTTCTCCCAGCTCCAAATACCTTAAGATTTCAAAATTCCTAACATTATTTAAATGAAAACACTATAGATTTCCCTAGCCAGGTATACAACAAATTAAAACCGAATTCATATACGTGAATATCTTGCCTAAGGAAGTCTTTGTTTTTAAAGTTAAAAAACAGGGAGAGTATGAAAAAATTACATTAAATAATTACTGTTGCAAATTAGGATACTCACTTCTATGTCTACTCCCTCACCCACTACAGAGAACAAGTAAAAGTAGAAGCTAAAAGTGAAAAACTTCATATACATAAAATATTTTATACAATTTTCCTTCTAAATCTTTAACTTTTTTCCAAGTAATCTCTAATTTGAACAAGAGTCATTTCATTTGTTCATTACATAATTTATACATTTCAAATACCATATTAAGCAATATGGTCTTATAAAATTTGTTATTTCAGAATTATGTCAATAAATGCCAAGGCTTCAACAATGGAAAATATTCTAAAGAATGAAAAAAGCTCGTGAAGGGAAAATGGGTCAGAAGAAAAAAAACACCTTTGAAACAAAATGAAACATACAAAAACAACTGAGTTCCAAATAACAGAAAAGAGTTAAACCACATCAAAGAAAACTACTATGATATAGTGTATCATATTTCAAAATTTATCACACAGAATTGCATCACATTTCATATCGAATTCACATAAAAGTTTCCACATTCAGAATGTATAAAAGATTGTTTTTACTACCTTATATCCAGGTCCTAACTGATGAACTGCAAATATCTGGGCAGGGTTGAGGGCTTCACTGAATACATACACGGCGCCAAGCTGGCCGCAGAACACCCGATTGGCATCAGCAGTTTCTGAAGATCCGAGGAAGCACTTGTCATAGCTCTGTTTTTAAAAAGTCATAAAAAAATCAAATGTATTATTTTATAATGACAAATATTTAAGGATACCTGCCTTCTCTGTTATGAATACCTTAAAGCATAATAATAACAGAAAACGGTAGTTAAACAGTGAAAGCCAGGTAAGATACTCAGGACAAACAAATCAGTTAAACATTTGATATTTATGGGACAGCAAAACAAACAATAACCACCTACTTAATAATCACTTGACAGTTTTTCACATTTTATACTTAAAGGCAAAAGGGCTTATAATTATTAATTTACAAAATTAATACTAATTTTAAAACTCTAATGATTTACAATTGTCCATACATAGATTCATCTGTATCGGAGAATGATTAATCCAAATTCTAATCATAAACACACAGGGCCTAATTTTTAAAATTCTACCTAACTTCTGCACTGTGGATATATTCCCCTACTGCTCCACACTCAGTCAAAGACACAAAGACAGTCACTTCCCTCTCTTAGATGAGCAGGCGTTACACGTAATCAATAAACAATAATCCTCAAAGTCTGGGGCCTACAGCAGATGGTACAGTCCTCCCCATCTGGAGAGTGCAGCACCCAAGAGGCCACCTTTAAGGTGCTTCTCACCTCTACTTCTTAAATCTCACCTAACACGTGGCCCCACCCATCCTGACCAGTGAAAGCAGTTACTGCCAGGTTGCTCTCCCCCACCCTTAGAGGTCCTTCCACACCTTAGAACTGATAAAAGCAAGACATTATATATGTAAGCAATTCCTTTGGTGCCTCAATAAAATAAAAAATTTGTGAACGAGGTTCAAAGACAGAAACTCCTCATTAAATACCCAATCTGTAATTAAAAGTATAGGGACTTGAGAATCAACTATGTATGTGTGCATATGTGTTATTCTCTGGGCCTCTCCACTTCTTGGGGCTCTATTGCAAAAAACTGAGAAATAGAAGTCCTTCCTTCATTTTTTGTTTTTTGTTTAAATATAACTATAGAGTTAATAACCATCAATGAGGTCACTGGGGTTTCTCCCACTCTATAAAAAAAGACTGTCTCTAATGGAAGGCAGATTTCCTTGTATATTCTAATTATGACAAAATCATCCTCATCAATATTTACTGACTGTGGCCTGACTATGAGTTTCTAGGGCAGAAAAAGCAAACGTTTCCTGTAAAGGAACATAATAAATAAGTTTTACAAGCCAAATGTAGCTTCTGTCACATAATCTTTGATTTTTGTTTGTGTTTGAGTCGTTAAAACCTTTAAAAACGTAAAAACCAAGATTCTTAACTCCTAGGTCACATAAAAACAGGTCAAGGATCAAGTTAGTCCATAAGGTATAGGCTTCCAACCCCTGACCTAGGAAAAAACTGTGGACTACGTCATACACAGTGCCACCTAACGCAGGAGAATACCGGACAATCCCTGCCCTTGAGGGATCTCAAGTCTGAAGAGATGCAGACTGCCAATATAAGAAGTGAATTTTGTTACACACAGGCATGTTTTTATGAAACCAGGCATGCTGGGAGGGCCGTACATTATTGGGTTTGGAGGTACTTTTGTCACGAGAACACAGCCTCCAACAGGCCAGGATGGAGACAAGGCCCCAAAACAGAAATGAGAGTTCTTGACGTTTTAATTCTACACAGCCTCTAGCCAGCTGTGTTACCTCCTCTCTGCTAACGCGCTGGGACAAACTAATATTAGCTGTGATGACCGCAGTAAGTCACTTAACTCCCTGCTTCTGTCATTGTCTCCCTTCAGAATATTCCCAATACTACGCCCTGACTGAGGTTTTCAAAACATGAGCCAACACCACCTCACTTCTCTGCTCAAAACCTTTCAAAGATTTTTATGCTGGGTAAGGTGAGAGAGCCCAGGACTCAGGTTTGCTCATGAGGCCCTGGCACCATGTGACCCTCTACGACAGCCGAACTTCACATTATTCTGTCTCTTTCTCCTCTGCTCCAGACAAACTAGCTAAAGCGTTGTTGTTAGATCAATGTTCCATCCTGCCACAACGCCTTTACACTCACTGTTTTCACTGAATGGGGCATTTCCCCCAAAGAGCCACATGGCTGACTCCCTCACCTCTTCTCACAAAGATCATCTCTGTACCATATGGCTTCTCCTTCCCCTGCACCCACACTTTCTATGTGTTCCCACTAAATTTTTCTCCTTAGCACTTATCATCATTTATCTAATAATACTGACTACCTGTTATACTTATTCATTTTGTATACAGTCTTCCTTCACATCTAAATAAAATACAGAAGAAATCTTTTAATGCTTTGGATTCTGGAAAGAATGGAATGCTACACTGATACTAATGCTTAATGATTTAGCCAAGTAATTTTCCCTTTTTTGTATCACTAATCATGTCTTTTAGCAATTTAATTATATTAAATTTAAGACATAAAAATTCATTTAGTAGAAAAAACTTTCAGAGAAAAACTATTAAGTCTCTAACAATTTTATTATATGATTCATGTTTAAACGGTGATGATCATACACTCAAGTATATTAAAACACAGATCAAAAAAAAAACAAAAACTTACATCATTCGTGTTAACGTGCCAAGCCATGTCACCGTAAGATACTAGCTGTCCATTGACGTAACACCGAATTTCACTGTTCCTCCACCGATTGTAAATGTGGACAATGCTGATCATGTACCACTTAAATGAGAGAAAATTGAAGATAACAGTATGTAATGTTTAGTTATTACTAACAATCATAACATTAATAACACACAACAAAAAATGCTCGTAGAAATATTAAGGATTAGCCACTACTATTTACTCAAGTACCCCCTTCCATTTCTCATTCTGCAGATGAAAGAAGTGACTCATGAAGAGTAAATTTGTGATAGAGACCTAGAACCCCTAAGCACTGGAATAATACTTCCACTATACCAAGGACCAAAATTATATTTGTGTTCATTCACTTAATAACATTATTGCAGACAGGCACTGCAAATACCCAGGTTTGAACAGACAGACATAGGTCCATTTCTCCTGAAATTCACGATGAAGTGAAAGAGACATTAGAGCAGTACAGAAATACAAATCACGATTATGCCTGGCGGGGGAGGGAGGGAAACAGTGTAAACGGAGAAAGAATGACCTAGGATTCTACTTTGGATTGGACTGCATGCTAAGGAACGACCTTTCAAAGGAACTTTTTAACATTTACAGTAAGATTTTTGTGGTTTCATTTGGTAATTTAGATTTACTAAATCCAGGAATAATTTTACATTTTTAACTTAATGTGTGACTCTTCATTAAGAATCAAGGAATGAGTTTATGCCAGGCTCTCATTTTATAAAAGTTACTAGGATCAACGAAAAGCACTTTAATTGTTTTGTTGTGGGATAGTTTAAGTTCTGTAACAATGTGTGGATCAATCTTTATTCAGAGTTAATAGCCTAAAGCAGAGAATACAGAAGAAATTTTCCTAAAATACAGAAAATTACAAACGGTTATTTACAGATACTTGAACAAGTATGTCTTCAGCAGTTAACGGGGAGAAATTAGGCTAGTTTCCCCAAAAAATACAAAAATATAAAATACAAACTTTGTTCTCCAATTACTTAAAAGCACTATTCAATTATTTCAAATGTATTTCGAAAAATATACAGTTATAAAACAATTCTCGACAAGTAAAATATTTATTTCAAGAAATATGAAATAATTTGAACAAAAGTCATTCATCAATTTAGAAAATAAACATAGTGCACTACTCTCAGAAGGCAGAAATACAAAACAACTTTGTTCCTTAATTATTTAAAAAATAGAAGTCAGGTTTAACCACTTAATCCCTAAAACACATCTTTTAAAAAATTATTTCATTAATCTTTAACTCTAATTTATCATAAACGGAGTCTTTCACTTGATCAGAAATCAACACGTATGTTAGTACAAATTAAAATCAGAAGAAAATCTTTAGTCTTTTAACAACTCAAGCTTCCAAATATTACAAAATTATCATGAAGCCACTGAAACTGAGATTCAAATAAATTTAAGGAAAAAATATTACACCAGTTTACTTGTATAAGAATTAAAATTTAATTCTATTAGCCTCATCAAGTTTGAAAATTTTCAACCAAAATGCCATCTAACACAGGAGATATAATCTATATATTTTTGAGTAAATAAATGTCTATAAATAGGAAAGGATTTTCTGTTTCCAAAGACAATTTTAAGATAAATAATAGATATATTATTATACTTATTGATAAACCTAATATAAAAAAGCACTCATTCAACAAATATTTATTGAGCTCTTTAGTGTACTGGAAAGATGAATTTTAAATTCATAAACATAAATTGAATTACCAGGTTACTAGCTCTATGACTTCTGAAAAATTATTTAACCTTTCTGAATCTATTTCTATATCTAAAAAGGGGGCCATAAAAATGTCTACTTTGTGAAGTGATTGTAAATACTATAGAAAATAGACAATGCATGAACACTGTGAAGAAAATTTCTAATACATATTTGACAACCATACATAAGATACCATTAACTTAATTTCTATTTCTATTTTATCCACAATTTCCCCCTGATGAGATTTTTTTCAGAGACATTTATTCATTCCACAAATTTACTGAGAGCCTACTTCATGCCAGTACCACCGGAGTGCGGGCATCCGAAGAGAAAGACAACCTATATACGCTCAAGGAGGTTTCATTAGAGAAATAAACATGAAAATAATTTTAAAACAATGGACAATAGCTAAAATACAGATACAGGATCAACAGAAGCAAGGACTGAGGGCAGAGGGTTGAGGAAAGACAAATGGAGATGGAAGGCTAAGGGAGACCCTCGCCAGAGAGTCAAATGGAAGTTAAGGCTGAGGCCGAACAGGAAGCGCTGAGCAGACGAGGGGGAAAGAAACACGCCAGGAAGAGAAATCTCAGCAGGGCACAGACAGCCCGAAGACTGGACAGAACTTCTCTCAGAGTTTACATTTAGTGGGAAAAAGAAAGATCGTGAAAAGACTTTAGGAGGCATTTGCAACCAGCCTTTGTTTTATGCATAATGTGGCATCACTACAGAATTTTTGAGCAAAAAATTGAAATGTTCATCTCCATACTTTAAGAAAATTACTGGCCTCAGTGAGGAAGTGGGACCATTAGGCAAATGTGGATAAACTTCAAAGCTACTGCAAAGATTCAGGTAAGAAAACCTTAACAGCCTGAGCTAAGAGGAAGGCAGTAGTAATTTAAAAGGGAGATGGAGACTAATTAACAGAAGTGACTGAGCGCTGATAAAGAAAAGGAGGGTCTAAGATGGTTTCCCATTTTTCACTTAAATGGGTAGTAGTACCATGAACTCAAGATAATTCATAAAGTTGTCCTGTTAATTAGCCAGTCAGGTCTGGAGTTAGAAAGAGTTTGCTTTTGGTTATAACACTAAGATATGATAAAACTGAGTGAATAAACAAAGGCATAGTTGAATGAATGAACTGACTTCAGTGAAGGTAGAGTATTTAGAGGAAAATTACTCCTTCTCCTTCTCTTCTGTGATATGTCACTATACATACACTCTACAGATAACAGACAAAGGACTCTTTCAGTCAAGAGCCCAACCGACCTGTAAAGGCAATGGTACGAAACTGAGGACTACGTGTGCAGGCTCTCACTGTGCGTGTATACGGGGGCTTGCAGCTAGCTCAAGACTGAAAAGATGAATCTATACAAGATGGACACCAACAGGAACAAGAATAAAAAAACTGTATTTAAAAATCGTAAGAAAAACATAACATGGTATTTACACAATTTCAAGAGTAGCTAACATAGACTGAGCACTTATTACATATTATGTAATATGCTAATGGTTTACATCCATTTTCATAAGGTTAAACACCTGGTAAGTGGTGTAGCTAGGAATACAAAAGTTTTAATGTAAATATTTCTTTTTGAAAAGCCAGTTAAACCCTTATTAGGAAGGATAACATCTTAGCTAGGGCATTGCCTGGGAAACTACAGAAAGGGAGAAAAAGAATAAATCTATCTTGAATAATGTTAACAGTAAAATAAAAACATTAATGACTTTCAAGGTTCATGAAAATCTTTACAGAAGTTCTTTTTAAAACCTGTATCACTCCCTGGCCCTGCTCCTACCAAGACCCCTTAGACTTACTATATAAAGAGCTTTTAAAAATGGGAATATATTTCTCATAAGGAAATAGCGTAAAGACAGAAAAAAAAAAGGAGTGAGAAAATAAATAGGTTTATCCCAATTTATTTTCTGGGTCTCATCCCAAATCTAAGAAATCAGAATTTCTTGACAAACAATGGGATTTGCATAAAAATAAGCATCATGAAAAAAGAGCCTCCATTATAATATATAAATTTATTTACAATCATAACTTTTTAAGCTACTTTCCAAGTATATATTAATGAATGATTGTTATATTGATATTCTTTAATAGAAGCAATGATTACTATCCCTTAAACATAAAGCAAAGCTTTCTAGTAAACTAATGTAAAATAAAAAAACATAATTGAAAACCTCATCCAAATTTTCTTCAGTATGTGGCAAAACACAAACGGGATCATAAGTAAAGAAGAAAACAAAAAAAGAAAAGAAAGAGAACATATGAAGACATTTCCTCTACTACATGTGAGTTCATCTCATCGGTCATGGCTGTTCCCGTGGGTAAATACTGCTGTGCACAAGGAACAGTGTAGAAGGTATATGCTGTGGGTGAATATTCCTGTGTGGAGGGTAGGGTGGCCCTGAAGAAGGGGGACAACCTCACTGTCGTATTTCCAAGGAGGACTTCTGAACCTGGAAGGGGAGCAGACCTTAAACATGTGGGAATGCGAACCTATACTTTCGTCCCTTGCTTTTTAAGACTGTGGACTTTCCAGTGGCTGGTTGCTACGACATAAAGATGGAGCCTAGTAAATAGGCAGAAACATATCTCTAGAAAACCCCAACTGATGATGAATGTATGATGTCTTCTATATTTAATTATATAATTGCACATTTCTCTGCGTTTTCTTTTATTATCATTCGAAGAGACTTCTAAAAATTGCTTTCAGTTTGGTCTCTGAATATCCACATTGTAGAGGACACTGAACAAAGATATAATGCACGGGCCAAAGCATGAAGAATAGAACAACACCATTTTCCTAGAAGCCAGCATTATTGAAGCAGTGGAAATTAGTGAAGCCTTCAATTTTAGGAAATAAGTTTCAGGACTACTAGGATTAACTGAAGCTCCCTCAGAAAAAGTCTCTGTATTACCTACCACATCTAGAGGCTTAAGAATTTAAGTGCCTGCACAGAGCAACAGCCTGAATTATTCAGTCTTTAATGGCATGCCTACCTTTCTTACTGCCACATGAAAAAGGCTATTGTCAAACTTAACTTACAAAGAAAGCAATGGCACAAGCCCCCTGCCTGCCCTCTCACTTTATCAACAGCAGTACCACTATCATTTCACTCCACTGGGAAACCAAATGCTCAGTACAAATTAGCTGTCCAGATAAATGTAACTCAGCCCTTTAAGAAACAAAAGGGATTTTTTGGTTGTTAAAAGTCATACTTATTCAATTATCCAACATATTGATAGTCTACAAAGTTCAATACTCCGTAGCAGGTACATACCAAGAAGACTCCAACACATACCTTGGTTTCAATCTAGTTACCAAATAATGAACATTTAAATGAGTAATAAAGGTTTAAAATTAATAATTACCATAAGAAACACTGAAATAACATGCTAGAGAGAGAGACTATATCTAGGAAACAAGAGAAACTGCAGGATGATTCCATGGAAATGGTGTTGTATGAAATGGGACAGGATTTGAAGACCTGGAGCTGTGACTGAAGAGACAAGCCAATGTATTTCATGCATAGATTGAACATTAGAAAAGCAAATAAAGAAGTGAAATGTGTGTATTGGCTCAGTTTTGCCAGAATAAAGGGTATAAGTGAAAAGCTAAAAAATAAAAATAAAATCATGAAGGACTAGGTTAAAAATTTTAATTTACTCTGTAGTTAGTGAGAAGCAAATAACTAGTTTGAGCAGCGAAACAGTATGATTAGTAATATAAATCGAGATTAGTGTGCAGGATAGTTCGGAAGAGGAAGAGACCAAGGATCCAGAATAAGAGGGCAGCAGGTGAAGAAGTTTAAGAAGGTGACAGATACATTAGGCACAGATTACAGGGCTTAAAAACGGAACTATACAACAACCAAAAAGGGATGGAGGGAGATCCTAGCCGCAGCGATCAGACCACACGAAGAAATGAAAGGCATCTAGATTGGTAAGGAAGAAGTTAAACTGTCACTGTTTGCAGATGACATGATATTGTACATAAAAAAACCCTATAGAATCTACCCCAACACTACTAGAACTAATTACACAATTCAGCAAAGTTACAGGATACAAAGTCAACACACAGAAATCTATTGCATTCCCATATACTAAGAATGAACTAGCAGAAAGAAAAATGAGGAAAACAATTACATTCACAATTGCATAAAAAAAAAAACCTAGGAATAAACCTAACAAAAGAGGTGAAAGACCTATACCCTGAAAACTACAAGACACATGAGAGAAATGAAAGAGGACACCAATAAATGGAAATACATCCTGTGCTCATGGATAGGAAGAACTAATATTGTCAAAATGGTATCCTGCCTAAAGCAATCTATAGATTCAAGACAATTCCTATCAAAACACCAATGGCCTTCTTCAGTGAACCAGAACAAATAGTTCTAAAATTCATATGGAAACACAAAATACCCTGAATACCCAAAGCAATCCTGAGAAGGAAGAACAAAGCTGGGGGGATTATGCTCCCCAACTTCAAGCTCTTCTGCAAAGCCATAGTAATCAAGACAATTTGGTACTGGCACAAGAACAGAGCCAAAGACCAATGGAACAGAATTGAGAGCTCAGATATAAACCCAGCCATATATGGTCAATTAATATACAATAAAAGAGCCATGGATATACAATGGGGAAATGACAGCCTCTTCAACAACTGGTATTGGAAAATTAGACAGCTCCATGTAAGAGAATGAAACTGGATCACTGTCTAACCCCATACACAAAAGTAAACTCAAAATGGATCAAAGACCTGAATGTAAGTTATGAAATCATAAAACTCTTCAAAGAAAACAGACAAAAATTTCTTGAATATAAACATGAGCAACTTTTTCCTGAACACATTTCCTCTGGCAAGAGAAACAAAAGCAAAAATGAACAAGTGGGACTACATCAAGCTAAAAAGCTTCTGTACAGCAAAGGACACCATCAGCAGAACAAAAAGGCAACCTACAGTATGGGAGAATACATTCATAAACAACATATATATATATATAAAGAGTTCACATACTTCAACACACAAAAAGCAAATAACCTGATTAAAAAATGGGCAGAGGATATGAACAAACACTTCTCTAAAGAAGAAATTCAAATGGCCAACAGGCACATGAAAAGATGTTCCACATCACTAATCATCAGGGAAATGCAAATTAAAACCACAATGAGATATCACCCCACCCTGGTTGGGATGGCCAGCATTGAAAAGACAAGGAACAACAAATGCTGGCGAGGATGTGGAGAAAGGGGAACCCTCCTGCACTGCAGGTGGGAATGTAAATTAGTTCAACCATTGTGGAAAGCAATATGGAGGTTCCTCAGAAAACTCAAAATAGAAATAGCATTTGACCCAGGAATTCCACTCCTAGTAATTTACCTGAAGAAAACAATATCTCAGTTTCAAAAAGACATATGCACCTCTATGTTTATTGCAGCACTATTTACAATAACCAAGATATGGGAGCAATCTAAGTGTCCATCAGTAGATGAATGGATAAAGAAGATGTGGTACATATACACAACAGAGTATTATTCAGCCATGAGAATAAAACAAATTCTACCATTTGCAACAACATGGATGGAGCTAGAGGGTATTATGCTCAGTGAAATAAGCCAGGCAGAGAAAGACAAGTACCAAATGATTTCCCTTATTTTGTGGAGTAAAACAACAAAGCAAAACTGAGCAAAACAGCAGATCACAGACTCCAAGAAGGGACTAGTGGTTACCAAAGGGGAAGGATAGGGGAGGGCAGGAGGTGAGGGAGATGGGGATTCAGGGGAATTATGATTGGCACACATCGTGTGGGGGGATCATGGGGAAGACATTGTAGCACAGAGAAGACAAGTAGGGTCTCTGTGGCATCTTACTACACTGATGGGCAGTGACTGCCATGGGGTGTGGCAGGGCTTGGTAATATGGGTGAATGTAGTAACCACAATGTTTTTCATGTGAAACCTTCATAAGAGTGTGTATCAGTGATATCTTAGTAAAAAAAAACAAAGGGATGAAGAACAAGGATGACTCAAGTCCCTGTTATTAGAAGATGGTCAGCTTCTTAATCAGAACAGGGAACCTAAGGACATGAGTGGACATGGCACTGGAGCAGTACATTCAATGTTATATATTCTGAGGCTCAGGAGTCAGAAAGGCATCCAGAGTATCTCACAGGCAGACAAGAATATAAGAACAGAGCATAAGAAAAGAAGAGTTAAAAGCTACCATGAAACTGAGTAAAAATTCCTAAAAAGTAGGCTCCACAAAAGCAGGAATGTCTGTTTTGTTCACTTCCGTATCTCCAATGCCTACAACAGTGTCTGGAACTCAGTAAATACTATTTATTGTATGCTATACATATATATTATAAATAACATCTAATATAATAAACAGTTATTATAAGCAATGTATATAAACAACTTATTTAGTATAAATATTTACTGAAAGCATGTCATGGGACAGGTCACAGGGAGGGAGAGTGGGAGTAAGAGAGACACTCTTCAAGAGGTCCAGAGCCTGATTTGTTAAATGTTGGACATAAAAGTAGAAAAAAAATTACAGACAAGGGTAAGAGAAAAGCATTAGAAGTCATTAAAAAAAAAAGTATTCCTGAAGTCATGATTGGTGAGATTTAAGACAGCGGTGAGAGTGTGTCATTCTCAACAGACCTATTTACTTACACCTACCTTGCGTGGTTGAAAATCGTATTTCACACAGTGCTGAAAACCTTTTCCTTTGGACTTCAAAGATGTGACTATTAGACAGTTGCCAACGAAATGAGCAGAGTAACCAACTCCTTTGCTAGTACGAAAACTGTAAAGAAAACTGGAATAGTATAATACTCCCTGATGCCAAAAACCATATATCTAAAGATTATTATTACATGATAATATAAAAGTTATTATAAAAATAAAAATGCATTCCCCTCTAGAGTAGAAGTGGTATTATATGAACCAAATAAAGACTAGACAATATAATGTTTAGAACTAAAAGAAGAAACTTAAATTGGGAAAACAGTCAACCGTAGACTCTTTAAATTCTCCATTTCATGTATCACACATACACAGAAATAAATAAATAGTTAACTGAAGCCTACCAAGCAGATTTCATCGACCTCAAGGGCCATTTGGATTTAGCAAATACAATTATGTTTTCCAAAGCAATTTGCTAATTCTATTGTACCTTTGAAAAAGTATACAATTTACCAAAAAAAAAAAAAAAAAAAAAATCACAGCCAAGTTTGATAAACAATTTAGGTAACCAAGCAAAAAGAAGCACATTTTTGGTCCAAAAAAAGAAACAGATGGGAATACAAAATATAGTTCTTTATTCCAGATGAACTCCTGTGAGCTCAATATAAAAAAAATTATAAATGCTTTGAAAAATAGTGGTTAAATGTATCATCTCCCAAAATGACTGTTCTGAAGTTCAATCCCATTTATGTTTGGAATTTTGGATGTTTATTTAAAAGTCCCTCTCATTACTATCCATATATAATCTTTTGTAATACAGTTTACAAGCTATTAATAACTTACTCATATTTCTGCACTCATATTTTTTTCTGCACTCATATTTCTGAGCCAATCATTACAGAAAAAGTACTTTAAGATTTTCTCATTAAATCCTATGGAATTGGTACTATTATTATCCTCATTTTATAGTTGAAGACATGATTTTCTCATTGAATCCTATGTGACTGGTACTATTATTACCCTCATTTTACAGTTCAAGACACCAAACCATAGAATAAATAGTAGTAGGTGGTGAAGACAGGTCTTAAACTCAGACAGTCTTATTCCAAAGCATTGCAAGCATTCAGTGAATTAATAAACATGTAGCACTTACAATGTTGAAAAGCAGTCAGTGAAAGTTTGATGTTCTTACTAGTGTGATTAATAAACTAAATTGCCAAGCTTTCAGTCTTTGTAGGTCAACCACTGTTGAGTTGATCAACATTAATTCTGTTAGTTATCTGCCAAATAATTCATCTTTTCTGATTAGAATTTCTTACATGGTAATTATTATTAACATTTTAAAAGCGTATCTTAATATGCTCAGAGAACAAAGTAAGTAAAAAGGCAAAGTGAACAAATTCTGGTTAAGAGTTTGATTTTTTCTCTCCTTATCAGAGACCAGCATCTTTACTAAGAGCCCCACAACTATCTATCCTGATATAGTCTGGACAGAGAAGATCTGTAACCTTTGACTCTTGAATCGTAATTGGTAAAAAAATAATAATAATAATAATCAGGCAGGTTGCCTAGCATCAACAGCAAAAAATAAATAAATAAAATGAATTGACTTGTGTCTTCATAGTTCTAACATAAATATATGCTACCTAAAATGTTGTTTTGATCCTATGTAACATATTTACAAAATTGAAAGACTTAAGACAAAAGTACTGAAATTAAATGTATTACTTACCAATAAAGATAAGGTTTATCCTTATCAACATTAATGTTATTTAAGGGATCCATGCGAAACCAAGTATTGAGGGTGAAGCCATTCTGATAAGGCCACTTCGCGATAGGAGGCAACGCGATTGCCTGCACAGCAATGAGAGCGGATACAAAAGCATCAGTCAAAGAGAATGTGACAGTACCGAAAGTCAAACACGGTTTTTACAGATTAAAAAGCAATGAAGGCATAAATGCCAGACAATCACAAATAAAAATAGAGACTGTTATCTTACTGAAATGATCTACTGATATTATTTGTCGATTATGGAAGCAGCGAGTTTTCAGGTACTCAGTGAATGCAGTTTTCATCTCTAGGCTACAGACTGGGTTTCAGACTACGCTCCACCCCTCCCCCCACGTCACCAACAGACAGTCCCTTATACATAATGCCTCAGAACTTTCAGTTTTCCAAGGTTTGTGCTATGTTTTCATATTTCATTTCATTAAAGGAAGTTGAATGTCTATACAAAAACAGCTATGCTAGAGAATGTTAATGGAATCAATATTGAAGAAATAGAAATATTGATGTAATGTTCATAATGCTTATAATACTAAAACAAAAGAGAGGAAAGCATGAGATACATTATTCAGAAAACTTAACTGTTCAAATTAATGATCAAAAAGGATTCAGATCTACTCATAAGTAGGAAAGGAGTAATATAGTACTCCACTGGTGATAGGTGTAAAAAAATCTAGCCATTCTAAGGAAAAAATGAGAAAGTGGTTGATTACTTGACTTGATGTCAAGAAACATCTGAGTGGATTTATTTATCTTCCTATGAGATACCCAAATTCCTTCATATCAAGATAATTAGCCATTATGATTTTATAACTGATGTGTTCCCTAAACAGATCTTTCACATTGCTATAATAACCTTTCTCAAATATAACATACAATTTCCATATTAAAAATCCTGTGCAGAGAGAATAAAGTTAAAATTTCTTCAGGTTGCATGAGACTACACACACACAACACAGCTCCAACAGGCCCTTTCAATCTCACTGTCTTCTCCTTCCTTACCTCACAGTCCAAAATACACCTAAATAAACCAGCTGTTCCACTTCTTCTACTACAACTCCCCCTTTTTGTACATGATGTTGCTTCCATCCAAAACACTTCCAACAAAACCCCAGTTATTCTTAAATACTAGGTTAGTATGTCACCCTTCTGCAAAGCTTCCCTGGACTTCACCTCACCTTAGTTTCTCTTTTCATTGTTTTCTCAGAGCACGTGGTGACTGAATCTATAGTAGTTTATTATAACAAGTTGTTTTTTATCTACCTATTAAGAATTCCTCAAGAGCAAGGAATACAATTTAAACTCCCAGCATAGTGACTTAAGACAAAACACATTCATTTTCGTTCAGCGAAAAATCTCAAAGAGGCAAAGATTTATGTGTTGCTGTAAAAATAAAAACAGAACACACACACACACACACACACACACACACACACTTACATGACTTCAAATGAAACCCAAACCCTAAAGATGAGTGAGTGCAGGTAAATTTTCCCATACAATGTCCTTCCAGACTTGAATGTTTAAGCAACCAGGCAGTCAGTCAAAATAGCTTTCATTTTATTTTTTTAAAAAGGTAAATTTTTTACTTTATTTTTTTGTTTGCTAATAAAATGAATGCTGTCCGAGTTCACTGCGGGTTGGTACTTCTGTAGGTTTCACTAAACCCACCTTCACTTACTATAGCTGCTTCAGAGTAATAAGGTAAGTAGGGACAAATGTATTAAGGGTATGGAATAGTAAAATGAATCTATGATAGTCAACACAGTACTTAACAAATATGTCAATTCGTTTTTAGTGCCTGTGGAACCCAACTAGCACTGGTTTTCAACCTTCTGCCGAGACCAGCATATCCAAGCGCACGTTTACATCAGCAGCAGGGGCTCAATACAGTGTTAACCCTGAGGAGTGCAGCCTGCTCCTTCCCCTTTCCTAAATTACTCCACAGACGCCTTCAATCTTATTCCCGACCTATGGCCTCAGCACTTTCTGGGTCATCATTCTCATCATCCAGTCGACTGAGCCCTAAATTAGAACTTAATACTGCATTAAACTTAGAGATGCAGAGATGAATTTGAGACAAACTGCCCTTCAAGTTTTCCAGACCTAGTCTTTCACCAAGAAAAAGACGGGTCGCCTAAGAGATCACTTGTTATTATCATAATGATAGGGTCTAAGAGAGCCCTCACTCACATACAGTTGCAAACGCTAGTGAGCCAAAATATAACAGACAAAAAGAAAATCTAACAAAAGAAAAATCTAAACTAGAGTGATAGGGAAATAATCTTTGGTCTTGCTACCTACCACTGGTACCAAACACCTGAGAAGCTTTAGAATAGCATTTTCCTTAGTTTCATTGTGGACTTCCAATAATTCCACTATAAATAAGGGGCTTTATTATGGCCATTCTCTTCAACAAGAAGTTACTTGAACTCAAGGACATTCTCTTAATTTAATGTATAACAGTTAGAAAAAGGTTTTAGGTACCTGAAATCCCCCATTTCTAGAGGGTAGGGTTCTCCTCATTTCCTATCTCACCTATGTACCAACCACACACTTCCATATAGTTTACACAGCACCCATAGATTCTTTCAACTCTTTTTAACTAATACATATATTCTCCCCTTAATCAATGCATAAAAGTTAACTCTGCATAGTATTGCTTGATGTGGAAGCCAGGCCCGTTTACTTCCAAATTACTTGTACCTAATCTCATCACCCATTTCCTAGATTCCTTATAGTTCCTTCGAATCCTGTGGTGTTAATGGCATGTCCTTTGGACTACCTTCGTGACTTTTAATTTAGGCTACCTTCACATTTCCTCTTACAGAATTTGGTAACCAAAACTGGGTGTCCCTCATTGAGCCCAATGATACTACAGGACTCCAAAACCTATACCCCTCACTGTCTCCTGGTCTAGCTGACTCCAAAAATCTATGCTCTTGTCTACTGTAAATAAGATGGGATGCTTTCAATAAACTATTTCAGTGACTAGAAAAGTTCAGTTTCCTAATTTAGGCAAATTCATGAAATACATTATTATCATGAAGGCAAATCTAAATAGTTTATTCACAAAGTTCACAAAGCACACAAAATGCCATTTTACATCTGTCATTTATCTTTACATGATTCACCTTTAAAATTAAATTAACTCTCTGAATGAGTAGATGTTTCCAAACTGCTCATACGGAGGAAGCATAGCTCATAGAACGGCACCCATACAATATAAAACAGAATTCAGAGGGCCTAATATATATTGTTATTCCAGAGGGAAAAGCAAGCAGTGTCATAATCTTCATCACCCAAAGGCACTATGATCCAAAACCATGTCTAAAGCATATGTAACCTTTTGTTGCTGAGAGACCATTGGTTCATGCTCAACCAGAAGCAGACTATCAAATACAATGTAACGGTAGGATTTTAAAACCCTCTCCTATCTGAACTTTTCAGCAGAAGGAACATACCTGGAAATAAGCCAATCTGGTTATCAAAAAGAAAAAAAAAAACAAAAAAAAATGGACTCAGGCAAATTTTGGTGCAGGTTGTGACTCTGGTTTATGACCCTAGACAATGTGACATTGTTGAGCTTCTTTCCTCAGCTGATGCAGCAACGATACTACCATTTATTTTGCGTATCTTGTATGACTCAAATGAAATAATAGCTGTAAAAGTCATAGTTCCTTCCCTGCTACCTCTTCTACCTTGAATATATTCTGGATCCAAGCCACCCTTAATGAAAATGTGTGATACAAGGAAAACTAGGAAAGCGGGAGAGACAGTATTAAGTCCATTAAAATCCCCTGAACAAAAACGGTTAAAAAATAAACTACTAACAACATATAAATAAAATTACCTGTATGTGTATAAAAATATCAGTTTTACATGTGGATGGAAAATATTTACAGTTTTCAGGTCATTGGTGGTCAAATGACTAAAAATAGGATGAGTTGCAACCCTACCGAGGCAATTCAGGCGATTTATTAAAACAGAGTTTTAACACTGTTTTAGTTAAATTTTGTTAATTCTACAAAAGATATAGCAAATTGCTTAAAATCCTTTCAATACACTTTGCTATTGTTCCACCCCTTAGACTGAGATCAACCAGATGCCAGATCAATAGTTTTGTAAAATGTATTAAATACCACCCCCCCACACACACACTCTTCCCTCTTAGAAACCTTGACGATGTTTTCTCTGCTAAGTACAACAATACACATGTTCTACCCTAACAATCTGAATATGCAGTGTAACTTCCATCTGGAAACTGATTTTAACTTTCCTATTTTTGCTTCACAGTTGATAGAATCTGTAACTTAAAAAAAAACGTTAATAACAAAATATAAATGGAGAAATATAAAATTAAGGGAATGGTTTATGAAATGGGAGATTTCAAGGACGTCTAAGTACTAATAATAACCAAAGAGACTATATAGTGCTTAAATGGTATATCATTTCATTACAGAGCCACAATAATACTTGTCCATGGTAAAGTACTAATATTTTACATGGAAGTAAGCCAACGAAACTTTCAGGGAATGGTCCTCCACAGTAATGACATAGAGGAAACCAAAATCAAAACTAAAGCTTCTGACCAAAATTTATATATACTCTCTAATAATCCTACCATATAGATAAAATGGTGCAATCACACAGGCTGAGAAAGCTAGTTCTTTCAAAAGAACAACAAAATGGATAAACTTCCAGACAGGCTGATCAGGGAAGAAAAAAACAATACAAAGGATAAAAGGAGGCATCACCACATATCCTACAGATATCAAAAGGATAATAAAGGGATATGATGAAAAATTTAATGCCAATATATTCAACAACTTAGGTTAACTGGACAAATTAATTGAAAGACACAAACTACCAAAGCTTACCCAAAACAAAATAGAAAACCTCCTGATATCTATTAAAGAAATTAACTTCGTAGTTTAAAATCTTCCTACAAACAAAATCCCAAGCCCAGACGAGTTCAATAGTAAATTCTAGGATAAGTAATTTAAGAGTAAGTAATAAGCACACATTTAAGAATAAGTAATATCAATTCTACATGAACTCTTCAACA